TTTCCACACAAAATAGCTTCTAAATTTCCCTGCATTGGTGCCTTTAAATTTATTTGAAGTGAATGCTATAAATATTATACAAATTGAAATGTTATTTACATGCTAGGTCATGTATGCATAATGGAATGAATTTGTGTATACACTATACAAAGATTTCGAAAAAAGAATGAGTAAGTAGCAGAACCAAAAAGAATTCAGACTTGAAGGAACATATTGGGCATAAGGTTTTGATTCACCTTTCATGGTGTTTACAAGAGGCAATTCTAACATTTGGTGCTTCCTCTCCGGTTTAATTGAAGGCCAATAATACAGTGTATATTTCATCGGTTTTTTTGAGGTACATAATTGAGAATTCACAGAGTGACAACATGAAGGAGTTATGCTTGTCTCTTCATGAAAATGACCGGTTCCTAAGGATTTCATGACTTGTAAATCTGTAACTATTTGGCTCTTCATCCTTATCTGTTCGTGAGTTTTAAAATTGAAGTTTGTAAATGAGTATCTTGACAAGTCGTTACTTACTGATGAATTGCGTCATGACTTAATTTTTATTTCTAATGTGCATATCAAAAGATTGAGAATCTTGTAATGCATAATGTGCTTACCTTCATTGGTACAATAGATGTAAGGTACACCAGGGCTTAATAATGCATTTTTTTACATTGGCATTTCTGCTTAATTTTCTCCTAATATTACACTATTTTCCTCGCAAATCCTACGACATCCCTTCTACACCAGGAGTTGCTCAACTTCATGCTTGTTGCGATGTCAACTTAACTTCATTCTTTGGTTAGCAGGAAAGTTTGCTGGTTAATTTGGTAGTTCGCAGATTGCTTTTCAGTTACATAATACGACCTCGTCTTCCATCTAGTAGTGCTGCTTATTCTATTTTTTCTGAAGAAAGTCAACTGGGTGTTCTACAAAGAGTTGGTTTTGTTGCTGGTATGGTCTTTTACTTGATACTCTTATTAATACTGAGCCCAATACCACAGGCAACTTTTGTATAGTGTATACTCTTATTCATACTGATGCATAAGGTTAGCATCAAGGTTCAAAAGACTCCAAAAGGAATTCATACTTGAAGGAACATACTCTGAAAAAAGAACGAAAAAACAAAACCAACAACAATAGGATATTGCATCCGCTAACAACCATTTACACAGTTACAAACAAATAACATTAGCCTAATTAATTTTAAATATAAAAGGATTCATTCCTGAAGAAAATATCAACAAAAGAGAAAAAAGAGATACATCTGGAAGAGTTAGTAAAAATCAAAAAATTCCAAAATAATAAGAATCATGCCTTATGTTTGAATACCTTGTTGTACACTTTTAAACTTCAAGAGCCCAAGTAAGAAAGTTCACTATAGTTCAAGCAAAATATGTATATATATAAGTTCTGAAATTAACTCAAAATATTATCAAACTTTTCATCAAGAAAAGCTTACTTCAAACTAATGGCTTTCAAGCTACAACCTTGTAACACTAGCAACCAAGGAACACCTATTTAACTGTTCCAAATAGCAAAGTGAAGGTTTTTTCTCTATCGAGTTTCACTATATATTCCACAACCTATCACCAAAACTCAATAAAACAAACAATGCTGCTACTCAAATGCCTATCAAACTTGAATTATAATGAAATCAGTATGGTGAACAAGGTGATGTAAACCTTTTCCAACGCCATCTGAGCAGCAGACTGCTCAGCGTCTTACCTTTTCTAGACACATACCCACGTGCATGCTAGTAATGTTGATCCAACTTGTCATATTTCTTGAAGTAACAACATTCGACATGTGACTGGCACATATACAAACATGGGTATGAGAATATGACCCTCCAAATACATGGAAAAATTAAGACAAAAATGAACATGCCTGTGTTGGACACATTGCCATATCCAACACACTTGAGTCTGACTAACATAGCATGCTAGTTCACATTTGAAACTTCCAGTAAATAAGCATAAGATAGAACCAGTCATTAGAAAACCCACATCTTTCAAAATTAACAGATTTCATGGTTGCATATATGGGCTCCAGCATAATAATCCTACGTTATCTATATCTTATGCATAAATTTATCGAGTGAGAAAAAAATTCCCCTACTTTTTCTTTTTTCCATATCCTTAAGATGATCAGAAGGCTGCTTCATCCCAGTACAAGCAATAAAAGATTCCACGGTTTCTTTAAAGCAACTGTGCACAAGATAGGAAATAATGATTTGTGGATGTCATTATCATTGACTGCCTGTAAAAACATATGGAAACGGAAGCCCAAATATAAGAAGTTAAGTCTACTGGAGGGACATAAGTATAGCATAGGCTAGGACACGAAAATGAAGAAACAGCTGAAAAATGATACAAACCAAATTGGACGATTCATCAAAAAATCAACTGAAAATGAAGAAAACTATTTTAAGTTGTGAGCTATGACACTACAAACTATAGGCTAGGACACGATAGCATAACCTTACATCAAATGTATAAATTATTGCTATAGGAAACAGCTGAAACAATTCCATTCCGCACCAAAAACACGAAACAGATTAAAACTTATATGCACAGCAGACCAAACAACCCCAAAACAATCTGCGGCCAAGACCAACAATTATGCAAAAACTATCTTTCCAAATGTATATTCAAGACATGAACTTGTGGGTAGCACTTACCTTCCAAGCCAAGGTTCTATCCAAGAGTAAAGGTTCACTTCCTAACCCATTTATAGGTCAACCATAACAGGATAACCCCGAGAGCCTTACATATTGGAACTATTGTAAAACCAATCGAATGCACATTTAATATAACCCACAATTAATTCAGAATCCATTATTACAAAATTGTTCTTGGAATTAGTTTCGACTAAATAGAGAGAAAATTTAGAAACCCTAGCGAACCCTCATAGTTAACAAAAATCCATATGAACCCATTCAACTACACCAAACTGATTAAACAGCATAATTGCACAATAACCTAACTTCTTATAATTCAATAAAGAAAGAAAATACATCAGGCTTGGGATTATTCTAAAAGAAAAAAAAATTATGCAACAATGCAATTAACCAAACATATTGAATGCATAAAACAATATCACACATTTGGCGAAAAGAACCCAAATTTTAGAACTGAAAACATAATGGGAGAAAAGATTAAAAAACTTACAATTTGTTCGTATAGACGAGGATCAACATCCATAATCGGGAAGATTACGGGAACCGAAGTGTTTAACAATAAATAGGTAGGTAAAGAGGATGGGCGTTTTCGTGGAATATATCAATCCCCATAGTGTCAGAGATCGTCGCAGCGTGGAACTCACTTTGTTTTAGTTTTTTTTCATCCCCTAAAGGACTCAGACACAACAGTAAAATCCGGAAGCTCCAAGGTACAACGATAAAGGCAAGGCTCCTTCTGAAGGATTGCTAATCCTGGGCATCCATTTTGAGTAGGTTCCTCTACTTCCTCTACCGAATAAGAAGCTTTACTCCCAAACTTTTGGTGTATGTAAGCGTTGGCTTTCTTATTGCCTGTGCCAATGATCCTCTAGTTTCCATGTGACTTCCAGGTGTTTGAATAAACCAAACTGGAAAAAAAAAATGAAAAAGTTCAGCAAACTATCACTTATGCAAATAAAATGGTTAGAACAACAACTGAATCAAACTTGCATTTCACCAATTGCATAAATTAAACCCTAAACCTTAGAATAAAAAATCAAAAAGAAAAACAATACCCTAACCATATTCTATACAATCAACCAATAAAATCATAGAAAATGAAAATATAGAAATGAAGAAAGACCCGTTAATTCCTTGAATGGTGGAAGATTGAAATCTATTGTGTTAAGCATATGAAATTAATTCCAAATTCAGAATCAATGTTCTGCAATTGCCAAACACAGAGATGAGAAGAACAAAAAAATTTGAATAGAAAAAGGCAGGGAAGTGCGAAGGACGGAAGTCCTTATAAGGAACAAGTTGGGGAAAGCAAAATAAATGAAAGGGAGTGGAGAAAAATCTTACCAGGAGAATCTCAGTGGAAAACAACGAATTTTTTGCAGGCAAGCTCACGGGAGAAGAAAATATCGTAGAGGCAAACTCACGGGGAAAAGAAGGGTATTTTAGCCTTTAAGCCCGGGAATAAAAATATACCTAAGACACAAATGAGAATAACATTCCAGGAATAAACCCACAAAATTTTACTGTTGGTATTATGATATTACCGAATCTTGTATATCCAAACATGAGTATATTAATCAGAAAAAAAATATTCCTAATGAAAATAATAAAATCCTTGATCCAAACAGACCGTAAAATTTCAAATTTGACTAAGCTGTTTACAGCCCTAGCAATCGACGCATCCTCTAAGCTAATGTATATCAGTATTACTTTGTAAAGTTGAAAAGACAAAGAACTGTTCATAGAAAACTCCTATCCTCTTTCAGTCTCGGTCCCAGTGTCAGCGTTACTGATATTTTTTTTACCTTCTAATTTACCCTTTGACCAGTCTCTTTTACTTTTCCCAAAATAAATTATTAATTAATTACTAAAAGATTAGTACTTTTTTTACCTTCTAATTTACCCTTTGACCAGTCTCTTTTACTTTTCCCAAAATAAATTATTAATTAATTACTAAAAGATTAGTACTCACATAAAAACGATAGGATAAGATCGTCCTTTCATCATATATTTTTCCTAAAAGAAATTATTACTTTTTACCGTGGGTCCACCGAAAAACTCTTTTTTTTGGGGGGTAATCTGGACTCCTTGGTAATTTCGGACTCCCAAAACGGACTTTCCCCATCATATAATCGAACGCTTCATATTCATCCACCCGTCCGATCCCTTCCTCTGAAACCTCGCCGTCGTTTTGATTCTTACTTTAATTAAGAACAATTACCTAAAAATAATAATTAATTATATCTTGCCCTAATCTGACGTGGCACTCACACCTTTTGCACTGCTCTGATCTGCAATATAAAGTACCACTCTACTCCGCCTCCGCTTCATATTAAGATCTTTTTCTTTTACCGTTTCTCTGGGATTTTATTTTCTGGGGATTTTGCTTTGAAGAAGATGGGTGAGAGTAGGCAGACTGGGAAGGTGAAGTGGTTCGATGATCAGAAGGGGTATGGCTTCATAACCCCCGACAACGGCGGCGACGATTTGTTCGTTCATCAGTCCGCCATCCAATCCGAGGGTTTCCGTAGCCTCGCCGACGGCGAAGAGGTCGAGTTCGTTATCGATTCTTCGGAAGGCCGCACCAAGGCACTTGAAGTTACTGGCCCCAACGGCAACCCCGTCCAAGGCGCCACGAGATCCGGACGCGGCGGCGGTGGATATGGCAGTGGCGGTGGATATGGCGGTGGCGGTGGATATGGAGGTGGTGGATCGGATGGGTATGGTGGAGGAGGTAGAAGAGGTGGATATAGCGGCGGTGGTGGAGGCGGAGGCGGCGGTGCTTGTTATAAGTGCGGTGAGATGGGCCATTTAGCACGTGATTGTGGACAGGGTGGTGGCGGCGGCGGCGGAGGCAGATATGGCGGCGGCGGATATGGAGGTGGCGGTGGGGGCAGATATGGCGGAGGAGGCGGTGGAGGTGGTGGAGGTGGAGGTGCTTGTTATAACTGTGGAGGATCTGGGCATTTCGCTAGGGAGTGTCCCAATAGCGGTCGCTAGTTTCGAATGCTGTTAAATGTGTGTTTCACATCTCCATTTGAACCACCTTCTCTCTTTCGCTCCTTTCGTTTTGGTTATTGCTATCCTATGTTATGGTACTTTATGTTTCTTTTTTCTGGGTTTATGAAGATGGATTGATCCTAGTCCTAGTCGGTTTACTTGTTTTCGTTTCTTGGGTTTTTGATGTAATGGGCTCTTTCCTTGGTCTTACAGTGGAGTGGATTTTAGTATTGATGTGGACAATGATGAAAAGGAGACTGTGTTGAAATGCTTCACTCTCTGTTATCTTTTAAGTGTTTATATAGATATATTATATGAATACAATCTGATGGTTTGGCTCAGTCTTTTACCTTTCATGAGGATCAATTTCAAGTATTATGTATATGATCAGATCGTAATCTCCCAACTCTAATTTTTGATTTCTCTATTAAAATATTACATTGGAAGCAGGTGTTTTATCTTTTTTGATTATTTGCTTTCATTTTAGGTGCTTCGAATCTGAAATTTATGTGTATATTGAATCAATGTTTTTGAGATTGACATTTGCAGAAAGCTTCCCTTTTTATGTGTTTCTTTTGTTAGATGTGAAGGAACTGCGTTTCTTGTTTCTTTCTTTATACTAAATGGTGAAAAGGGTTGGTGACTAAAGTGTTTGAATAATGCACCATAAAGCCTCCTGATTATAGGGTTACTTGCCATTTTTTTGCCAGTGGTCCTTTGCTTTTAAACCCTTTACCATGTTTACAAGGGTCTAGTCTATTTGGGGCATGTTGGTGGATTTAATGCGTTCTTTGATTGGACTGGAAGAATTGTTGCTTTCTTCTTTTGGTCCATTTGGGTCACGAGCTTGAATGATTAGACTTTGTAGCGAAAATTTTGAAAGAAAAAACTCAGCTGCATAGCTTTGGCTTGAGTGGACACAATAAAGCGTTTCTCTTTTAGTCTTAGGCTCTTGGCCATGCCGGATAATGCAGGGTTATACAAAAATGGGTAGTTTACCCTAATGGGATTTCATTTCCAAATTGCCGGGTTTAGGGTTTTGCCCTCCAAATCTCGAACTTTTAAGTGATTGAGATTTCCTCTAGCAGACTTTATTCCTGGCATTTGTGACTAAGAATTTAGATTCTATTGTTAGATTGGTCTCGATTTTCATATGGACCTACGCCAATGTTGATGCCTATTCTTCCACCGGCTATGGTTAAACAGAAGTGGTGAACTGCCTGCCGACACAATAACCTATTCCATCAACACTCCCTATCATCCATTTGTAACTATGAATCTGCATATAGCCGACACAATAACTTATTCCATCAACACTCCCTATCGTCCATTTGTAACTATGAATCGATTTGAATGTTTATTTGGAAACATATGCGACTTAAGACTTGAGGTTCTACTCTTAGGTTGGTCTCAATATTCGTATGGACCCACGTTCTTCTATCGGCTACGGTTTTCTGTCCAAACCAGAATCAGATGTAGTGAACTAAAGCTGATACAACCAACTTATTACATCAGTATGTTGGAAGGAGAGCATTGTTAGTTGGTTGAAATGTTGGTTGAGGACAATCATTCCAGAGGAAAACCAGGGTTGGAGGGTGTGCGCCTTTAAATCTGAAAAGAAAAAAAGGCATTGTCCCCCAACCCCATATTATTTGTCCTGTTGTTTACAGAATAGAGAGGAAATAATTTCAACTGAGAAAGCTTTGAAACCCTTTATTTTTACCATAGGTGGCATGCTCTTGCAATGGGAATCTCTCATTTTCCCCAGACTTATTACAGAAAGTTTTGACCACCTTCTGTGACCACTGCATCATATTAAACTTTTTCCAGGGCTGCAAAATCATTAAGATTCTCGCATTTTATTCTAGCCATAAATTTTATTTTTTGTCAATTAGGTTGAAGTTTTATTTTAGTGTATTGAGATAATAATATTTTTAATTGTTTTAAAACACTATGGTGAGACTGATATGACAATATTAATTGAGATAACAATAATTTTAATTGTTTATATTTACACATTGGACTGATTTAGTCAATTTTTATTTTATAAACCTGCCTTGGACTTCATTTTAGTCAATTTTTATTTTATAAACCTGCCTTGGACTTCATTTTTAATTTCTTTCATTCTTCTTTCTTCTCTTTCTAGCTACAAACTTTCTGACCTCTCTAAAAAATCAAATTAGATATTGACCAAAGTCTATCGTGCCAACCATAATCGCTTGTCGTTAACAGTCGTTACACGTTTGAACTTCTCTTTTTACAATTTTTTTGTTTGCCGAAGCCTGTCTAAAAATATGTTTTTTCAAGGTAGGCGTATTAAGATCAAACATCAGGAGAGACGAAAAATTATTAAGTATTTAAATTCAAAACTAGGGGAGAAAAAAAGTCTTATTTAACTAATATTTAGATTAACAAACACCTAAACTGTTATTACTGAAAAATTTGGATATAGTTCTTCTCACTCAACAAATAACTCGGTCCCTTCTTAAAGGAGTTGTATTATACGTACAACATACACATGAAAAGCACCCTCTACTATGATTGTTGTTGAATGCTTGTATTCTTGTCTCGGGCCATTATGATGCTGTACGAGCTTTGTTGAATTTGCAGAAGTATTCTCTCTTTTTAATGCAACAATTTTCATTTTTCTCTTCATTTCTACAAAAAGATATATTATATATAATTTATGTTTTTTTGTTGTAAGATATGTTCACATCATTACGTAGGTGAGACTAGTACCTAAAAGATTAATCTACGTCTGGGTCTGCAATATAAATTAGAAAACATAAAATTGTCAGGGAAAAAAGGTTTTTGGGAACACTGGCATTGATTTGCAAACTTACATGTAATTTTTAGTTAAGGGATGATCATAATATGTTTATAAATTAAATTGATAAAATTTGATCATAAATTTGGTTCTATGAACTACCTTTAATCCAGAAATAACAGAGACAATTCACTGCCAATTTTCTTTGCAGCAGAATAGTAGGATTTGGATTTCTCATTCCGTCATGTCATAGTTAAAGTAGATTCCCTTCGTTTTTTTATAGCTTCAGAATTATCGAATGTTTGCTTTGATAAATTTTTTTAATTAGAAGGAGGGAATACAAGCTAATGTATATTCGAAAGATTTTCAATTATTTAATAATAAATATTCAAATATTCTTATAAATTATGTGTCCCAGCTTGAGATCTCTAGGAATAATTCAATATTCAACATTGAACCCAAAAAACAAGGGAACAAATCACATTATTGTAAAGGGCAGGTGCAAGAGAACACAACTCTTACATATCAGAGACTGAACCATAACAACCTACAAAGCAGAGAGGATCCTCAATTTTCTTGATACAAACTCTGTTTCTTTTCCAGGAAAATGCATTACAAACTCCCTATGCTAAATGAAAACAACAGAAAGACTCAAACTGGATGACCAATATGTGTGTATAATCTGATTTGCCAACTCCCATTTAAGCTCCAGCTTGCGTCCCTTCTCTGTCAACAATCTAAAGTAACAAGGATGACCAGTGTGTGCGCGTGATTCATGGCATATGAGTGTGATTGAAAGGGCGGTGCGTAGGAGCAGCCACGGTGGCGTTAAGGCCGTGTTGGGGTGACGGTCCCGAGGCTGCCGGTTGTGGACATTGGTAACACTTTGTGAACAGCCCAAATGTGTCAATCTGGTGTATGAAATTCGTCATGCTCGCCCATCCGCCGAATCCGAACCCGACAATCAAGACCCACACCACAACGAACATGTTTATAGTGTATGCCCCTACCCATCTTCCAAAGTACTTGGGAGGTTGCTCAACTGCATTCTGCATCACAACCGTTCGTCAGAGCATCACATGTCAATGATCATACATGAACATTTCTTCTGTGTTTTCTTAGAAAAAGACAAGTTTTATGTAGTACCCCAGATATGGGGAATCAGGTACGAACATGAACATATTGCAGCACGAATCTCGTGCCTTTTTGCAAAACTATTGCATGTTGTCCTAAAATTTGCAGTGTTTAAATCCAAAACATTATCTGATTAGGAGAAAGAACCAGGACTGGTCTGCTAGACTGTGACCACACGCTACTGCACACTGTTTTCTTATTCTCTGCAGCTTGGATTTATCTAATGCTAAATCAAACCAACACAGCTAATAACATATATTTTTCAATTCTCTCAGTCAAATGTTTGACTCTGACATTAAAGTAAAAAATGACACAGTTGCCTGTTCTTAGATTAGTTGAGGTTTAGGATTTATGGTTTAATACCTCTCTAGCAGTGGCTGATCGGAAGGTGAAAATGTGAGCCAGTGCTGGAATTATGTAGACGGTGAAGCTAACGAGGAGGGATCCGACGGTGGAGTTTATTGGTCCAAAGAAAGGGAAGATTATAGCCAAGAACCAAATGGGGACAACCACCGGCAATCTTGCCGCTGCTCTCTTGCACAAGCTCTTGCACTCATGCATCCCTACTGTGCATGCAAATCCAAACGTAATGAACTGCACAATATCACACCAAAAATAATGAAACATTACTTGTCAGTGCAATATGATGATGATGATGACATATGAGTGATATGGATGCGTACTGAAAGAATGAACATTATTACGTGTACTATATTTGTTATGCATGCATGGAGGGATCTGATAAATGGAATTTCATAGGCATGCCTGGTGGATGAGCATTAAAATGACAGCCATGTCTCTGAAGTGAGTTCTCGGGAGAAGAGAAAAGGCATTTGAGTGATTGAGAAGCATGTCTCCAAATGCCCAATAAACAGCAACAGCTGAGGGAAGTGTCAGTGTCAGCACATACACAGTTGCTATCAGGTATATAGCCTTGAACTTTTGTGGTTTCCACATAGCATGCATGATCTCCCTGTGCATATTAATCACCAAATCCTTCATTAAATAGCAAATCAATTCATGTCACTCTATAGTATCTAAAGTCTAGGCACATCCGGGGCCTGAAAAAGGCCTGCTCCGGGCTGATTGAGTTTGGGTTTAGGGCTTAAAAAGCTCAGCTCCATGAACTTGAAGGGCCCTTTTTTCTTCTGCATGTGGGGTGCCCTTTGATTCACTGAACAAAGCTAGAACCCATCCCCTTATTCTCAATGATAAAAGTGAAAGTAAAAAGAGAAAAAGATCATTGGCTTTCTACATTGAAAAGGAATACTAGGGTTCCCACTTCCCAAGAAGAAAAGAACTTTTAGCCAGCCACGCTTACGAAGGGCAATTTAGGAAAACACTATATTCTATTAATAATAGGGACTGGTCATCACCCATGAGTTTCTCCGATGGTTAGATTATGTCTAAACAAGTAAAGATCTGGTCTTTTTCAAAACAGTTTTTACATGCATTTATAATTCTCAAAAGGGTTTTAATAACACAATTTCTTGAATTGAAAAACATGGGCAGATTTGTATATAACGTAAGAGACAAGTATTCTAAACATAATTTTTTTCTTACACAGTGACAGCATGTCCCCCGAACGTATAGAGAATGTTGGTGGCACCTGTGAAATACAGCACCAGCTTGGTAGGACCAGAATGTTGAACTCCCTCAACCTACAATTATTAATAATATGTTTAGTTAAAATAACTTATCAAGTTGCAGTTTTTTTTCTTTTCAAGCAATGGGGCAAGACAATCAGGATTACTTTTTGACTGAACATTAGAACACAACATGTTCAACAAGTTGAGTAACAAAAATAATTTCAAAGTTTGGTTTTCTATTTTACCTGGCCATGGAGGAGGGAGGCAATGGTGAGATACCAAGCTGTGTAGGTGGTCATTATAAGGCCAAGAAAGGACCAGATTCTGTAATTGTGAAACGACGGGATAAAGACTGTGGTGGCACAACAGGCACCGAAGATGTAAGTCCATGTCCTCTTGTCCAGGTTGTCATTTATGTAATATATGTTGCGCCATAAATAAAAGCAAAAGAATCATAAATGAGTAGCCAAGTAGGTACCTTGCACAAGCTATGAGTTGAATGACAGATCCAAACAGAAGAAAAGTGCAGTTAAATGCCAAACCCACGTTCCTCCAGTGTTTTCCAAGGAGACCATCAAGAACTTCAAACCACTGCACAGTTTTGAAAAAATATTGATTCTCAGTGTCATTTCATCATATACTTAAAGGTGTAATTTTTAATTTTTCGTAAAGAAGTTAAAAAGCAAACCTGAATGACGTGGTTCCTGAAATCAACTTTTTCTCTTTCTTTTCTGGTTCTGTACTCCACATAGAGTATGCTAATGAGATAAGCTGTCCAGCTACCCATCAATCCATAGAACAGCTGAAAGAGAATCCCAGAAAGCATCCCCAGTTGAGAAAATGAGTATGGCAATGTAAGCAACACTTGAGCTACCTGAAACCAAAACTTCTCCATCAGTTATTACGTACGTAGGATTTTATACTAAAAGGATTTATAATGTTTTACCGGACGATATTATAAAATTTTAAGTGAGATAAATCATATTATAAATAGAAAATACAAGTCGTAAATGCAACAAAGGGCAAAGAGATGGCAGCAGAACCTGATTAGAAGCACAGCTAAACCAAGCATCATAAACAGAACCACCATGCCAAAAGAGCTTAGAAACCTTGCTTTTGATGTCCTTAGGCCCCCCTTCGGCTTCCATCTCCACATAATTCCCAACAATCACAGTCTCCACCACCTTATCACTGGCATCTGCCATTATCTCTTCTCTCCTTTCCTCACACTCCTCAGTTCTGTTTTTTACTTTCCCTGCAGTTTCTTTTCCTCTAATGACAAACTGGGTAGTGTTGTTTCAATGTAAGAAAAAGATAAGTGAAGTGAATGTGACGAAGAAATAGTAGAGATGTAGAGGGTATATATATAGATACAGTTCAAGGTATGTAGTGGGGAGTAAGGGAAAAGAAGAAGAAAAGCTGTGTCTGAAAGGTACGTTAGAGAGTGAGGTTTGCACTTTTTAGAGCTTAAAAACTAAAGCTTGCTGATTATTTATTAACGATGTTGTGTACATTATATTTTATATAACATTAATCTTAAAAACTGAACCTATTAAGTGATCATCTCGTTTAAAAAAGTTATATTTGTATTATGTGTATGTTATCGATTTTAAATATTTTAAATAAATATTTATCTTAAAAATATTTATCTGGTACCATTAAAAAAAATATTAATCTTAAAAATTACTCAAATGAACTTGCAGATAAACTCAACTAATGACATCTATTATGACGGCTAAAAGCATTTGGGCATGCATTTTTAATAGGGTAAACTATACAAATAGTCATTAATGTTTGAGTAAATTTTAATTTTTTCTACTGAAGTTTCAAAAGTAACAAATTAACTGGTCACTAACGTTATTGATTTGTAACAAATTACTCAACGTTAATAGTTGTTACTGAAGATAACGAAATGCTGATGTTGCACTATTTTTTCACACATTTGACTTTCCAAAGATATTGACTGACATTTAAGGAAAAATTAAAGAAAAAAAAAGTTTATCTTCCTCTCCATTCTTCTACTCTCTCCTCTCCGCCCTACTTAAGAACCAGGAAAGCTGCAACTCTTAAACTTCCTTGTACAAATACTTGTTTGGGGAGTTATCTTCAACAAAAGGAAGGTGAAAGAATAGTTTTTCAAGTGATTAACATTATCCGGTTGCCACCAAGTTATAATTAACAACCATTGTCTCCTTTTCTCCCACAGCCACCGTCGCAATCTATTTTATTCGCTCAATTCATCCTCATCTCCGCTTAACTCAAGTATGAATCTTCTTCCAAATAAAGACTCTTAGAAATGCACATATAAAAAAGCTTTTATGTACAACTTGTAGATCCCCTCCAATAGCGATCACAACCAAAGTACAAAGACTACCAAATATAATATAAACAAAACTCCAATGGAGAAATTTATATTAAAATCATCAAAGAAAGGTGTCACAGTTGCAGGTGGTCGCCTATGGCAGTTTGACTATAGGGTTTTCCTCTACGATTTAGGAAAAAGAAAACTAACAAAAACAAAACTTCAGCCGGAACAGGAAACTAGGTCCACACGTGGTTACATGCATAGCTTAAATCGAGACAGCATCAAAGAATACAATATTCTATCGAACAAGAAACTCAGGATTTCAATGCATTTTGCTGATATATATTTGTGAAATTAATTTGTTCAAGCCTAAAAAAACTAACTAAAACTGTAGTAATACATGCTTCCATTGATAGAAAAAAACAATGAGAGAGCAGTCTCGGTTTGCAGTGTTGCAATGAGATTAATTTATTGTTATAAAGCAAACCCAGATGTTGAAGCTTGGCACTGAGTAATCACTGAGTCTTTATGTGGGGTTGGCACTGCGTAATCACTGGATAAAACAAAGTTCTTATATGCACAACCCTCTTGAAGGTTTGACTTGGGAATGCAAATGTATGTGGACTTGAAAATTTACTCTTTCACCTTCCTTTTGTTGAATATAATACCTAAACAAGTATTTGTAGAAGACAGTTCAAGAGTTGCAGCTCCCCTGGTGTTTTGAAGTAGGGAGGAGAGAAGAGAGAAGAAGAATGGAGAGGAAGATAAATTTTTTTTCTTTAATTTTTCCTTAAACGTCGATCAAAATCTTTGGAAAGTCAAATGTGTGAAAAATAGTGCCACGTCAGTATTTCGCTATCTTCAGTAACGGTTGTTAACATCAAGGGATTACATTTACAAATAAATAACGTTAGTGACCAATTTGTTACTTTTGAAACTTTAGTGGAGAAAACGAAAAATTACTCAAACATTAGTGACCATATGTGTAGTTTACCCTTTTTAATATGAACGGAGGATTTTGGTAAAATGGGAAGCATTTGTGGAGGGTAAGGCTATTATGGGGTTAAAATTAATTAGTTAAAATAAGACAGTAGAGGGGAATGATTGCACCCAAAGGGGGCGTGGTGGCTTTACATGAAGAAGAAAGTGCTTTTATCACATGGCCATTACCTCCCTTTCCTCTCCCCACCTAAACCCTATTCCCCCTTCACATGTACTGCTTATTATTCTGCTTAATTTCCAGGGATATTATATAAAAAGTTTCATTATATATATATATATATATACATGTTTAAGATATATTTGCATAATATAAAATTTAAAAAAATACATAAATTTAGGACTACTGAATTTATAAAAATAGACGTATTAGATTAACTAACTTTTTTGATAAATATATTCTCTTTTTTTGTTATTATTAATAATTAACGGTAAAAGTGCTCAGATAATGCTATAAGGAGTGTTTAATTCCTAAATTAACGTGCTTTCAACATTATTTCCTCATCTAACGTATTTTCTACAGTAATTACCTAAAAATCCCAGGATATCTCGGTATCTTTGGGCTAAAATTTTTATACATAGATTACTCGGCATCTTTAGTTAATTTTTTTTCTGCTTATTGTGCATTTTTGGAGATTTTACCAAAAAATCACATTTTTCTTAAATATTTACGTTTCAGACACCCTTTGAGATAATATTCCTGATCTAACACCCTTTGCAGAAAGGCGCGGCCCAAGTACCGCGCCTTACGCTGGTGTGGTGCCACGTAGGTCGCGTCTTACTGTCGTCTGACACACGCACCAAATAGGCGCGGTGCATGGGTCGCGCCTTGAATAATTATATCTGTATTTCTCGGCTTTTAAATTTTTCTCTCGGCTATAAATACGCTCTCAACCCGTAAACATTCACAGCAATCCTCTCAACTAGAAGAATGTTGTCGCTTCAGTACATATATCCAACATCATTGTTTCTGTTAACTTATACATATTTCCATCCAAACGAAGCAGACCGCTTTCCATTTTATAACTGCAAAAAATAACATATTTAAATAAAATAATAAAAAATTAAATAATACAATAATTAAATAATTAAATAAAATACTAACAAAATATTAAATATAATAAAATATACCTTATAAATAAAATTTGAACGATGTTTGGTTTTTGAGAGGATTTGATGTGGTGAAAATAGTTGAGAGTGGTGTACTTATAGGATGGGATGGATGGTGTGAACAGTCAGTTGGGTCGGTGGGATGGAAGGTGCATGGGCCGCGCCTTCGATATTTATTTTGTCCTAACGTGGGCTACACCTTATCCCACGTGGCGCCACATCAGCGTAAGGCGCGGTGCATGTGCGGCGCCTTTCTGCAAATGATGTTAGATGGGGAATATTATCTCAAAGGGTGTCTGAAACGTAAATATTTAAGAAAAATTTGATATTTTGGTAAAATCTCCAAAAAAAAGCACAATAAACAAAAAAAATTAACTAAAGACGCCGAGTAATCCATGTACGAAAATTTTAGTCCAAAGACACCGAGATATCCTGGGATCTTTAAGTGATTACTGTGTAGAAAATACATTAAATGAGAAAATAATGTCGAAAGCATATTAGTTTGGGAATTAAACACTACCTATAACTTTATCTGGGCACTTTTGCCTATAACTAAATCTCTATTTTTCATTCATTTAGTATTCTCTCTCTCTATATATATATATATGGATTCTAAATCAACATGGTCAAATTAAGATTTTTTTTTATCATTTTACTCTATTTAAATTTAAGATCTAGATTTTGTTATTTAATTTATCATAGTTTAATATCTCTATTTTTTACGTTATTTTTATTATATTATTAGTTAATCTAAATAGTTCACATTGTTTATCAAGTTACATGTCCCTTTCAGAAAATAGGAGCAATTTAGGATTTGATGGTTTTAAATGCGGGTAATTAAGGACAATTAATCACGGTGTTAATGTTCTTCATCAATTTTATATAATTTTTACTGATATAATAATATGTTTGGCCTTCAATGTTTATACATATAAATAATGTCAATCTGATCATCATTCTAAAATCTAACTTATTTAGTCCCCAATATTTCCAGAATATGTAAATTATGTGCTTTTTAGAATCAAGATCAAATTGACACAATATATAACATCAAGGGATAAATTTGTTTTTCGCACGAACCAACTTATACTTCAATTATTCTTCCTAGAGGTCACAGTTCGAGTTTCGGCGGTTGCAGCAGGGTGATTGAGAGTTCATTGTCAAATGGTTGACAGTATTTATAACAGATACTATTTTGTAATCATCTTAACTTAATAAAAAAATGGGGATAAATTTGTTATCATGCCAATCAAAATTATGCAAAAATGGATAGAAAACATAAAATTTGCAATTAATTGTCCTTAATTGCTCACTTTTGAAATTGATAGAGACTAAATTGTTCTTTTTTTGATTGGACCAATTTGTCCAATATTAGAAAAGAGAGGGAGCTAAGAGGTATTTCTACGCATTAGACATGTCAACATGATGATTTTAAAAGGTTGTATTTATTTAACCAAAATAGTTAACACCATTAACTAATAACATTAAAAGATTAGAGGGACTTGATCATACAAAAATTAAACTACAGGGACTAAATCCAAATTTAAGTATAAAAAAGGCACAAAAATCACAATTTAACCCGTTTTTATGGATTAGGTGCAAGGTGAACTAAGGACATATAAATGGAGTGTAGTAGAAAAATCCATTTGGAAAACTTGTTAGATCATGTTTCATGTGGCCTGGAAATGGGAGAGTTATTTTATTAATTTGTTGTGATTAATCCCTTCCTGATGCACTTGCAATATTTTTTTTATTCATCTTGACTTGTGTATTCGATTAAGTTCGATTCGATTTTCATTAAAATATGAATCAAATAACACTTTGTGAGTTTTTAAAAATTGAAATTGAAATCAAAACCGAATGACATAAAAGTCGTGGTTTTCAGTTCGATTTACTTCTGTTTTATGATTTTTGATTATTCACTATTTTTCAAACTTAACCTCCAAAAAAATATAAATTTAAAGCTTAAATCGAGTGCATATATATAAATTTAAATTTATAAAAAAATATTATTAGTTTTAAGGTTTTATTTGTTTAAATTTATCTCGTAATAAATTCAAAATGAATTTATTTTGGATATTTATTTTCTTTTTTTAATTCGGTGTGATTTAGTTCAAACAATTTTCATATGAAAAAACCGAAATTGAATCAAATTCTATATTTATTTATTTTTTAAAATCAAACTACAAATTAAAAAATCCAAATCGAACCGTATAATCCAATTCAAATTAATTTTTCGATTTTCTGATTTCATTGAATCCATACAAAAATTCTCACTTTTAGTTATACTCGAGATTTCGGCGTATTTACTGTATATCAAAGTTGAAAAAAACACAAAATATATTATTTATTTAGTTCTTAAATATTAATCAAACATAAACAATTGAGAGAGATTAGGCACTCCATGAGCTTGTGTTTCCTTTTTCTTGTTTCTGAATTTGTATGCATAACCCACACATATTATTAATATTTCTCTCAAGCTATGATTTTTTTTTCCGAATTAATCACTGGTATTCGATCTATTGACCGACTAATCCAGATCAGATATTACAGAGACGAAGGAGATCATCTCAACCCAGTTTACTCCATTCGCAAACGCCAGAGTTCGAACCTCTGACCTTGCTTAAGAGATCTAGTGTCTCATCCTCTTAAACCAACGGATTGTTGGTCTCTGAAGCTATGATGGTTAAACATAATGAGGGTTTTTTTCTAATAAGATTTTGAAAACAAAAACCCATCAGAACTGTGTTGAATGTTGATGTAAATCATTAGATAAAAGCATTTCTTTGCGGGGAACAATCCTACATGTGTTTTGTTCAATGCCACTGGGACCTCGAAACATTGTGTCTGCAACCCTGTTTCCTTTGACCACCTTCCTTCCTCCTTTTTCTTCATGCGTTGTGTAATAGCCGGACAATCCAAACGTTCTAGGGTGATTAGGGATTGACAAATAAAGTAAAAGCATTTGTTATGATTCTGATTAACAAAAAGTGAGAATAGTGTTGATTTCATGTCATCCCGACGATGAACACAGATTACAAACAAGGAAAGCTAAACCCCATTGATGATGCGCAGTTGCGGAGCCACGCATTACTGAGGGTAGGCACGTGTTTATCTTAAAATTTAAATTTTCTTTGATTGATTATTTATTTTATTAAAATATTCACCTGAAATTTTTTATACCAACCTTAAAATATAAATTTTCTTCAATTAATTACTTATTTTACGAATAATATTCATCCTAAAAAAAATTAGATTCGTAACTGATGATGATGCGGCATGAAGTTTAACCTGAGCACGCCAAAGTTTATTACTATAAGATCATAAAGTCAAGCCTACTGTGATCAACATCTTACCCTCAAAGTTTTAACTTTTTTCTTCATGATTTGAGCCACGTTTTTGACAAACATTAATAATGGTTTCTGTTCATAGATGATGAGGGCTCGCAAGTGAGTCAAACCTGCATTGAGTTGGTGACATTGCAAAGCAAGACATATGCGATTAGTGAGTCAATTCCATATGATTTTAACTCGGACACCCTGTAGAAAATAATTGGTTTTGAAAGCGATCTTGAGGAAGAAACAATATGACGATGACTTTTGCTCCATTTTGGAAGCAAAATGTGGGAGTAAAAGAATCTTATACTCGCAGAATATTTGTCCTTCTATTCTGCTTTTCTGGTTTACAATACACATAAAAGCTGCATTTTGGGGGATTTCAAAGCACGGCAAGACTATTTCAATATCTTGTTTTTGGTGTTTATTGCCATTTCAATTGATCCATGCTTACTCCTTAGCAACAGGATCTCACACATTATTAGAGTTTGATTTACTCGAACTAAATTGATTCAACTAGATTCGGGTTCTTAACAAATCGAAACAAACTATTTGATACCCGACTCAAAAAACTCACGAGAACCGAAAAGAATAATATATTAATTTTTTAAATTAAATTATCAATAATATTAGTATTTATACGTGGGTTTTTAAATGCAATATAAAGTTTTTATGTACTTAAGGTTCAAGTTCAACCTTCAATCGTCTGAGAATATTTTGAGTTCGAATTTTTTTCGAGCTTAAATCAAACTTCATTTTCTAGTTTCAAATTTAAGTCGTTTTAAATTGGTAAACTTCAACACGAACCAACTTACCTCAGTAGTTAAAGAAATTATTATTGTTCATAAAAGTTATGGGTTTGAGCACCAACAATTGCCGTAGAATGATTGAATATTCATTGTCAAATGAATGATAATATTTAGAACATATACTACTTTGTAATCATATAGTTTAATAAAAAAAATTGGTAAACTATTTCGATTCAAATTCAACCATATTTATATTCAACACTCGACTCGTTTACACCCTTAAATCTTAGTATTTTATCAAACCCCTAAACCCAACTAGTACTCCCCTTTTCGTTTAATGCCTTTCTTCTTTCGAAAACCGGAGGTACTCGTATTCTTTTTTCTTCTTTTTCCAAAATAAGGCCCTAAGATTTTGCCGGTTGGACATATAGAGGCCCAAATTTGATTGTGCAACGAGATTATGATTCATATAAAGACCAACAAGTTGATCTCATGAGATGATATACTAGGTCACTTATGTAATATCAGGGGATTCGAACCCTGATAAGAGTCAATTTTTTTTATAATATTCGATCTGAATTATTCGATTAATATATTAAATATCAATGATGGATTTAAAAAAAATATGGTTCACATTTTGTTTTAGTATATAAGCATATAAGGATTATAAATAGGAACTAACGCAAGGAGGTAACATATAAATTTTAAATAGAAATATAAAATTTTTAAGGGAATAATTATCTTCACTTGCTCCCATCGTTCCATTTATAAGTATAGTCCACCGCATCACATTTTGCTCTGCAGCAACTCGTTTGTTCTCTTCTGCTTTCCACTTCCCATTTCAGGGGCTTCCTTTGTAGCCGACCAGTTGCAACAAAGGTACTGCAAGAAGATACCAACCATTATTATCTGTTTGTTTCCACAGAAAATGTGCCAAGAAAATATCTTTCTTTTTCGCATGTTAACGTTCTTTCTGCAACGCAGATGGCTGCAACTGCAGCGCAGGAAGGAGCGGTATGTAGAGGCAAAGCAGAATGGACGCCGTCACGAGATGCATTTCTGGTCGATCTTTTCATCGAACAGCACAATTCTGGACGAACGTCCTATAACGAATTCAAGAATGAAGTTATTCGATCCGTTACGCGTGATTTCAATGACAAGTTTGGCTTGAATCTGGAAGAAAACCAGATAAAAAACCGTTACAACGTGATGAAGAAAGATTATGGTGTTTTTAAAACCCTGCTCGGACATAATGGATTCGGTTGGGACGGAACTCGACGAATGGTTGTAGCTGATGACAGAGTTTGGGACAACTATATTGCTGTAAGAAGCGAAGCGAGACCCTTCCGGCGCAAGACCTTTCCTCTGTATAAACAAATGTCAATCATATTTGAATGTAAGATATCATATTGTGGTTGTGTTCGAAGTTACGGATATTACGGACGTTACGATGTAATTTGATACTATGTTTGTAAATGTGGTGTGCACCAGCTCGCTTACTTTGCGTACGTGCTGTTCTTTTACATGCGGTGCAGGTGAAAGAGCTACTGGCAAATGCGTTCCCATGGTAACTGAAGAGGGAAATAGCAACACCAAGACGGCTCGATCTTCAGAGCCAACTGATGCACCTGCACAAGTAGTTGAGGGCACCCTCGATTCTGATTTGATAATTCGAATAAGTGACAAACAATTGAAGAAACGAAGGTCCGTTCCTCCTAGAGCTGATAAGAAAAGGGTATGATGTACGATTTTTTCAGCTGTCAGTTGAGAGCTTTACGAAGAGATGCTTCAAATGAGAACAATATATCAGAAATGCCTGGAAGAGCAGCATTTAGAAGATGTGTGTGTTGTAGTTCTTTTGTGGCAGATGCACTTCTATTTGTGAGTAATTCAATATTTCCAGATTTGAAACAATTTTCACCCTACAATTTTCCATATTGAGCTTTCACTTTAGAGATCTCCAAGTTTATATGCTTCAAGTTATTAGAAATTTGGTGCCTTTACATGCAACTTCAGGCGGCATATGGGGATCTCCCTAGACATATCTGTAATGCACAAACAGGGTAGCCTTTGTAAAACAGGGCACTGAAATTTTACCACCCAAATGAGCATTTCAATCAAGGACAGGGTTTGCTTGCTAGTTATATGAATCAAGGCTATTGAAGCTTTAAGTTTAATCAATCACAAACCAGAGAATATCAAAGCTCCCAATACAAAAATTAGCAGAAAGAAGGCATATAAATTACACTTCTTATTTTGCTTGAAAAGTAAGGAAATTGAAAATGCCCAAAACAAAGACAAAACTTTGAGATTTTAATGTTTAATAAAATAACCAAAAGGCAAAAACCCCACAATCACATTCTCAATTGTCACTATGTCCTCTAAGAAAAAGTAAAGTTATTTAGTTTTTTTTTTTTTTTTGCCAATTCTTTAACTTCAAACTCCTCCAATTTTCAATCTTTATGTGTTCGATAATGGATCGTCGTCATCTGTCTTCCACCTTTGTTTTTCTCCTCTGCCTCTCTCTCTTCTCAGGTAATATAAAACCTTCAAAGACTCAATTTTTCCTTTTGATACTCCTTTTTGTTTTTTGTTATCTGCAATATCTGACAATAATCACCCTTTGTTTGTTTTCAATCGCAGAAGTGAATCCAGCTTCTTTCAAGATCGTCAACAAGTGCCGCCACAAGATATGGCCGGGTCTTTTATCCGGCGCCAACACGCCTCAACTTCCCACAACCGGCTTCCTCCTTAACCCCGGCAAATCAAGAACAATAACAATACCCAGGTCTTGGTCCGGTCGGGTCTGGGGTCGAGCCCTTTGCGGCCTCGCCTCCACCCGTACATTCGTTTGTCTGAGCGGCGATTGCGGCTCCGGTCAAATTGAATGTTCCGGGAGTGGCGCCAAGCCGCCGGCCACTCTCGCGGAATTCACATTAAACGGTGCCGGAGGACTAGACTTTTACGACGTCAGCTTAGTCGACGGCTACAATCTGCCGATGTTGATCGTGGCCAAGGGAGGTAAAGGCGGGAATTGTAGCGCCACGGGTTGCTTATTGGACCTCAACGGCGCTTGTCCATCGGAGTTGCGCGTGGCAAGTAGAGACGGTGGAGGCGTGGGGTGTAGGAGCGCGTGTGAAGCGTTCGGAGACCCCCAATACTGCTGCAGCGGGGCGTTCGGAACTCCCGACGTTTGTCGGCCGTCCACATACTCGTTGTTTTTCAAGCGTGCTTGCCCACGCTCTTATAGCTATGCGTACGACGATACCACGAGCACGTACACGTGTGCCGGCGCTGATTACGTCATCATTATCTGTCCACCTCCTTATACCAGGTAAATAAATTTCTGTTAACCCAAATCAACCCCATAGTTAATAGGATCCGAGTAAGTAAAAAGCTCCGAATTGTAGTATTTACGTCTAAAGAATCTGTCATTGCAATAGGTTAATAAAAATTCTAAAATGATACCACCGTAATCCCAGACTATTCAAAAAGAAGAAAAAAAAAGACATTAATAATGCATCAAAGACTCTTCCATGGATTGAAAGTTGGGAACTTTGGTCTACTTTAAGCCGAATGGTGGGCGCATTGGTAGTTTGGTTGAACCTTTGAACTTTACTCTGATCATTCACGGTAGATTTGCTGCAGATTGGCAGCATTATAGGCGTAATAATTCATACTAAACCAGAAAAATCTTATCGAGGATGCTTTGAAAATCTGAGATTAGGTTTATGAGAAATATAGCTAGATGTAATCCATGTGCACTTTCAGAAGGAACATATGTGAAAGTATGGTGGAATGGAGGCTAGATCATTCTGTCTTGAACACTACATTACTCTTGGTAGAAATGTCTGCTGAAAAATTATGTATTCATTTGTGTTTGATGTGTAATCTGCAGCCAAAAGTTGTTCGGTGAACGGAAAGACGGAGCGATGCTACCGCTTGTGAATAAGAGTATGATATACCTATCAAGCGTGCATGTGAATAGGGCTTCATTATCAGGTCTGCTCCGAGTGCAATTTACATCTGCGGCCTCTTTTGCTATGGCTCTTTTCCTCTTTTGGCAACATATATTACCTTTATGACTAACATTGGCCTGGACTGGACACTTCCAGGCAAGTAGTAGCTGAACCGAAGGGAGTAATTCTCTGCCTCACGTCTGCCACGCGAATATTGTACACGGCTATCTCACCGAGCTTGTTATGTCGATACTGATACAGTAAGGGTTTCTAATTTTTTTACTGTCGAACGAACATGTTCAAGGTATATAGCAAGGCTTGAATTCGAAGCATCTCGAATTTCTAAAGTTTCTAATGCATATTGTTGATGTTATTCCTAAGCAGAAACAAGATTGCAAGACTTTTATACTTTTCCTTTTAGTGCTCTATATAGACACAGTATTCGACTGAAGCTGTCCAATTAGAATCAACATAACCTTGAAGCTCAAACTATGATTAAGAGTACCATTCAGATATCTCAATATCCGCTTAATAACTTTAGGGCTATGACCATTAGTGTTGGAGTGGGTGTAGAATGAATGTTTCTTTTGATCAACGTATCAATCACATACTTCTTTTGATTGAATATCAAATGATCCGAAATCTATTCAACTTTCATTCCAAACAAACAATCCAGTTGTCTAAACTAAAATAACTGTCCAAACTATAATGTTTTTTTCTAAATAAGCGTCCAATTTTTTTCCGATTCATCTAAGTATCTTACATTACAAACATTATCACTTTAAGTGCCTCGGTTGTTACGGGCGTTAAATTCTGCCAATTAAAGGACATGTGTCATGTTCTTAAAGTTTTAAAAAATTTATTTAAAATTAAAAAAAATATACTTAAAAAAATCAGAAAAAGCAAAAAGTTTAAGAGATAAAAAAAACCCAAAACCTTAAAATCTCTAATTTCAACTCTTAAACCCACGTCGACCATCGGTCTTTGCCGTCTATGAACTTCCATCTGCTCACCTCCGCCCAACGATTGGTAGCCCCATGAAAAGCCACCATAATATGAGCTAAATGACATATGTATCCCGACGAACCCAACGTAGCAAATCACAATCCCACTTGATCCCGACGATCATTGGACGACAAAGATGACAATGTATGACTAGGAAGATGGTAAGGACGACATCAAAGAGTTAGAGTTAGGGGTTTAGGATTTTTAAGATCTGATTTTTTTTTATAATTTAAGAGAAATTAAAGTTTTTTTATAAATATAATAATATTTTTATTTTTTTTAAAAATAAATTTTCAAAATTACCAAAACGTGACATGTGTCACTTAACGAAGAAATTTAACGGCCATTATGGTTTGAACACCTAAAGCAATAACGTTTATAACATCTGTAACATTAATAACCTAGATGAATCGAAAAAAGTTTGGACACGTATTTAAGAAAACATTATAATTTGGGCACTTATTTTCTAGCTAAACCTAAAATTTATCATGTTTTCTTCAATATATGTATAGGCTTATATATAACATATAAGTATATAAAGTATACTATCTTTTTTCATTTACGTACCTAAAGTTATCTTTTTGGTGAAAATGTGTATTTAAATAACTTTTTAGTCAAAATAGGTACATAAAGTATTCAATTTTTCATCTAAATAAATAAAGTATTCTTTAATTAATGTCATGTGTCAAATTTTTTAGAATTTGGATTAAAATTTTTAAATAATATATGACATAAAATATTTTAGGTACTTAAATGAAAAATAGAGGTACTTATTTGTGATATAAGCCATTATATATATATATATATATATATATATATATATATATATAATTTAAACTTAATAAAATATGTGTATCAAATGTTTTTTTATTAGAAAAGATACGTGGTGTTGAATATATAAACATATCTAATATTTTATCATCCACTTTGAAGAAACTTGTTTTAATCTAACTTTATTGTTAGTAATAGCATTTACATGGAAACTAGGAAGTATGCCCTCAGGGTGACTGGACTGGTGCTTCTCACAAACATCGAGCCCAGAGATTCTCCTTTACTGCAAATAATAATTAGATATGGTTAATTATTTCTTGTTCAACCCCATTTCTAAATGTCGACCCACCAATCATCAAAACCTGGAACGATGAACTAGCGGTTTCTTTTCGAAGAATGTGAAAGCAAAATTGGATTTGTTTGTAATCATACAATTTCTTTGGCGTTCCAAAAATATTTTCGAGCTTAGTTATATTAGTCTGAGTTTAATTGGTTTTACCATTTTGAATGATTAATTTTAAGATCTAATTGTTAGTTTTCATTTTCAGGTAAATTATTAAGGTTAAAATGATTTGCGGTGTCTGTTTTGTTTTAGGTATTGACAAAGCTACAATACCTTGATCTATTGGGGGGAACATAGGGGCTTTGGTCCTTCAAAGCTTCCCCAAGCTGAGCTTCCACAATCTTGCTTGGACCAATGTTACGAGCTCTCAACTCTAGCACCTTTGGGGGTAATTCTGTTGAAATGATTGTATGTATTGGAGTCGGTCTGAAAAATCTAAATCTAAGCAGAACAAAGTTCAGCTGTGTAGGGATGAGATTTTAGTTGGACTGTTCCCAAATTTGAAATTTTATCTTTATCTCAAACATCAATTGATGAAGTTGCCATGTCTTATATCGGCTTGATGTCTTCACTTAAGGTTGTGCTGAGCTTCCACAATCTTGCTTGGACCAATGTTACGAGCTCTCAACTCTAGCACCTTTGGGGGTAATTCTGTTGAAATGATTGTATGTATTGGAGTCGGTCTGAAAAATCTAAATCTAAGCAGAACAAAGTTCAGCTGTGTAGGGATTGAGATTTTAGTTGGACATGTTCCCAAATTTGAAATTTTATCTTTATCTCAAACATCAATTGATGAAGTTGCCATGTCTTATATCGGCTTGATGTCTTCACTTAAGGTTGTTGAACTAAGCAACACAAACACTATAAGGTTTGGTTTCTTCACCACAAACATTAAGTTGTTAGTTACTTGGATTAATCATGAATATTGTGGTAGTCTTGATTTTTCTAGTCATGCAATTTGCAGGTTTTATTCTCCAGCCAGACACCGTGTCACATCCCCGAATTGAGATACGACACGAAATTATCCAGAACATTGAAGAAGAAAAAGAAGAAGTCTATTGGTCGGTCAAAGGTTGTCCCCACATGGTCAAATATGCTAAGTCCGTTGGTTTAACATGTCACGTCATCATTTCATTATTACGTTAATGGTTGTTAATAGTCGGTGACCGATTTGTTATAAATCGATAACGCTAATGACCAATTTTTACTTTTGAAACTTCAGTAGGAAAAGCGAAAACTTAGTTAAACATTAATGATCATCTGTGTAGCTTACCCTTAAATAAAACAAAGATAATGAAGGATAGAATATGTATGAATGGTATTAATAGTAGGGTTAACTACTTCAAATTCCATTCTTTGACATGAATCTCCCGAATGATATCAACTGTCCAAGACCATGAATCGGATATCCCTAAAAAAACAATTTCTGAAAAAATTGGTTGCTTGAATTTTCCAACAGGTTCCAACACAAAAATTAGAGTTAGAGTTGCTTGAATTTTCCAGGTTCCAACACAAAAATTATTCATTTCGAGGCTTTTTAAAGTTGGGTTGCTTGAATTTTTCAGGTTCATAGAGTTTTGAACACTATCGGTGGGGAATGAAACAAATGATTTTGTGATTTAGGGTTAGGGTTGTTAATTGGGATTTTTTTATCAAATAAATTATTATTAAAAGGCCGATCCAATTTGGATTAAATGATTTTAATGAAATCTTCCAAGTCATCACCATCACGATAAACAAATGTTCCGTCATCGTCTCGCTAATTGATTAACGGTAAAATGGTATAATTATAATTAAATATAAACGTAAGAGTTAAAATTGACAAAATTAAAACATAAGTTACATAAACTAATCCAAACAAAGGTCAATGGTATTTTAATCCTTACTAATATTACATTGCGGTAGAGCAGTGCCTGCCCTCTGATCTTCATCGCTTTCTTACCAACCTGTGTCGTAGGCGATTCAACGTCCACCTATCATTCTCTTCATAACAATACCCTTCTTAACTCCATTCTGCCCCTCTCCCCTGGAGCCTGGGGAGCATATATATATATATATATATATATATATATATATATATATATTACTACGCCATTCTGCTCTGCAAATTAATCTTAGAAACCTAAGCTGATCAAGTAGAAACTTGAAAGAAATTCTAGGAAGAAGCAGCAGCAAAAGAAACCCTCATGGATCTTCACTCCATTAGCTTCTCAGCTCTTATTCTCTGTCTCGTTGTCTTATCAGTGAACTCAAAAGGTTAAACCCAACTCTCTATTTTTCTGGGTTTCTTTCACTTCCACGTTTTCTTTCACATTGGTCAACCGCTGTAGCTACACTGTGTGGCCTGGGATAGTAGCAAATGCAGGCAATCCTCCGCTAGATAGGCACCGGATTCGAGCTATCAAAAGACTCCTCTCGTTCCTTTCAAGCCCAAACAGGCTGGTCGGGTCGTTTCTGGGGTCGAACCGGCTGCAATTTCGACGGATCCGGTTCCGGCACCTGCGTGACCGGCGACTGCGGCTCCGGTCAGACGGAGTGCAAAGGAATCGGAGCTGTTCCACCCGTAACTCTGGCTGAGTTCACTCTTGGAACGGGAGGGCAAGATTTTTACGACGTCAGCCTTGTGGATGGCTACAATATAACCATGATCGTGGAGCGCACCGGCGGGGCGGGTCGGGTCTTTGTGCTTCCACCGGGTGTACGACCGACTTGAACCGTCAATGTCCGTCGGAGCTCTAGGTCGGGGACGGTGACGCTTGCAAGAGCGCGTGTGAAGCATTCGGGAGTCCCGTGTACTGTTGCAGCGGCGCCTAAGCCTTCAGTTTATTCCGAGATGTTCAAGGCCGCTTGTCCCAGATCTTACTGCTATGCATACGATGATGCTACGAGCACGTTCACGTGCACCGAAGCAGATTATACGGTCACGTTTTGGTTTTTTTAAACGATGTGGGATTTTGTGGCAGTCAAAAATCTTCGAGAGATTCTACTCCAGCTACGACAGGCTCAACGTCACAAAGACCAGATACAGAACCTGGGTTAACATACTCGGGTAATGGATATGGATATCCTGGATCGGGTTCAAGCTCTGGGTCAGGATCAGGACAAACCGTGATGACAGATGGGTCATGGCTAGCTGGTTTAGCAATGGGAGATTCACCAAGAACCACAGCTTCTCCCAGTTTTCTACCATTTGGTGCAGTCATGGCATCAACAACTATTTCAGTCATGTTTTCATTTGTTTAGTTGTAGCCCTCTCTCTTAACATTCTGGGAATTTTGAAGTTGAAGCAGATGAACTGCTTGAATTTTGTGTAACATAATCTGGCATTGTGTAATGTTAGCTTTGCTTTTTTCCAGCTTTTGTTTCTTTTGGCAAATTGGATTGTAAAGAGAATATGAAATCTTGTTTAAAAGCTTGTTTGTAATGTGAAAATGCGAGGATTTTGGCTACGTTGTGTGTGAAGGATGCCCCGATAGGGATGCTTAATGAGTTGATCCGTTCTAAGTAGATTCGGTCAAAATTCGATAAAAGCTTGACTCAAGTTGAACTCGAGTTTAATTCAAAACCTTAACGAGTTTAGTCGAGCTAAGTTCAACACGACCCGATAATTTTGTGAGCAACTCTTTAATTTTTTTATAACTTTTTAGTTTATATTAAAATATTATTTCATTAAAAAAATTATCAATTTACTAATAGATAATAAAAAATATGATAAATTACTAATCTATTAATTTTTACAAAAATAATTAAAAATACTAAAATATTAATTAATAATTATTATTTTACTACACCCAAAAATTCAAAACCTAATTGTTTTTTTAATGTATTTATGAATTGTTTTATACACTCTTTTGATATTTTTTTTGTTAAATTTATTAATCTATGTTTATATTAAGTTTTATATAGTATTAGTAGATTTTACTTATAGTTAAAAATAAATTAAAAATTTCGGTGAGTTTAACGAGCACAAGTGAGTAGAATTTTAACGAGCTTAAAGAGCAACGAGTCGAGCAACAAATTTTCTTAACGAGCACAAATCGAACAAAATTTTAACGAAAAACTAGTTGAGCAACAAAATTTTTAACGAGCACGAGTCAAACACTGCCCAACTTTCGATCGATTCGCTCGATAAACACCCCTATTCCCCAATTCTCAAGTATTCTAGCTCGGCTTTTTGCCTGTTTAGTCATATTATGGGGGTTGTAAATTATATTCAAACGTTAGTTGAGTACTCGAAAAATGAAAAGGGGCCTTTAAGTAGGAGTAAAGCTGGACTAAGTTGATCATGATCCCAGATTACAAATGAATGCTAAAGTGCTTAGTTTCATCACTACGGCTGAGTGAGAAAGTAGATTCCACCGTCCTGTTTCCATAACCAGCATTCACCTTATATTCACCCAGGAATCCATAAAAGCTATATGAACCAAACTCATCTGTCACCCCTTTAATCTCCCCAGTTTCCCATTCTTTCAATAGATTATCAACCACATCACCAGCCGGTAAATTCTTGAAATTTTCGTCAGTTAAGCACATTTCGTAACACCCTTTAGGATGTAGAGCTGTCCAAAGCATTATCCCATTCACATATGGATGTGAGAACCCTTCTCTCAATACCTGTTCCAGGTAAACGCCCTGCAACTCTTTTCCAACTCTGCTGCTGATGTCTACCTCTGTTAGCCATATGGGCAGTCTTAATGTAGCCAGTTTGTCGAGCACGGCTCGCATTAGAGGAGGGTTCGGTTTGGTGAAATGACTCTCCAATCCGATTCCATCCATGTACATGCCACCACGTTCGAGATCTCTTATCCTTTCGATGAAAGTGTCGACCGTCGATTTAACGTCGCTGCAGGTTTCCACTACATTGAATTCATTCATGAATAGGGTTGCTAAAGGGTCAGCTTGATGTGCGGTCTCGTAGAAATGCAGGGTTGCATCAGGTCCGAGTCGTTGCTCGTAAAAGTTCCAGTGGAGCATCTCGTTGCTGACATCCCAGTGTATGAATTCCTCCTTGTATTTGCTCATTAGGCCTTGTATCCTGGAGTTAACCGCGGATTGTAGCTCGGGACCAGTAAGGTTCCGAACCCATGCCGGCGTGTATTTGGGGTCTTCCCAGAATATGTTGTGGCCCCTGGTTATTATTTGGTGAGCTCTAACAAACTCCAACATGTGGTCGGCTGTGGTGTAGTTGGTTCTTCCTTGATCAGGTTCTGTTGCATACCATTTCAGTTCATTTTCGAACACTGCTGCGTTAAATCGTTCAACAAACCATTTCTGCATCGTCATCGAAGGACACTAATTATCCGAATAAAGTATCATTGTCCGACATATATGAAGACACAGATATGGAGACGTATCTGTGGATACCTGATAGGGCAAATTTCCAAGAATGGTGTGTGCAATTGCAGAACCAAATGGAAAATCCTTCGAGACCTGCACTATAGTTAATGCTGCTCCTTGCAACCTATTTCCTTGCTGGTCCGAGACATGTATCGTTACCGCACGCTTCCTTTGCTGGAAAAATCCATTGGAAAGACGAAAGTAAGGATAGCAAGAATTGAAAATAAGTACGAGAAAAGTGTCTGAAACAGTAATCACAGTGTTTATAATGTATTGCTGGTTGATCCTCCATTCCTCGTCGGTAAATGGCTGCAACGAGGAGCTAGTAACTGTTATATCAATGTCTTTACCATCTGAATTCTGCATATCCAACACAAAAAGGGGCTTAGAAGCAAAATAAACGAAAGCATTCATGAGCTAATGCTCAACTTTTGAAAGCCTATATATATATTGTTTTGAGTACAGATTCACCTGGAATAGTAATAAAGACAAATTCGAAGGCGAATCGAGATCGAATCCGCCTTTGAGAAAAGACCAACATCCTTCCTTAGCCAAAACAGTCCCTATGCAGTCATATGTTATGTTTTCTGTCTTCAAGCTTGCCCTGATCAGAGCTGAATTTGAACCTTGTATTTTGATCCAAGCTGCTATGCACCAAAACATAATAAGCTGAGAGTTCACAGGATATGCACCAAAACATGTCGGGTGGCACCTGTTGGGGCACGAGTATTACTGTGTGATACGCCTGTTCACCTATGTTGTCGGCTATTATTTTCATGTATTCGTGTTTAATATTCGCATTCGATACATATTCAAAACCGATATTTATCTGATAACATAGGTGAATCAGACTTGAAATTGAAGTGGAGAACTTAACTGGAGAAACAGTAAACGTTGCCCATGGTGAGATTCTGCAACACAAACGCTGGAGTGTAGAAACCGGTTGCAGTTTCTCCGATAATGCTCGGTCGCATAATTGGAGGCTCATCTTTGAGAATCCCTCCTTGGTATAGCGGCTCCTCCGGCTGTGCTTTACACTGCAAACCAACAAACAATCAATAAATAACAGTCTCTTTACACAAACAATTTCAGCACATATATCCACAGTTACCTCACTGTAAGCAGTGAAATCATATAAAGGTCCATCTGCAGCAACATCAAGAAAAAGAATCCACTTTAGAAAATCCCATTAGAATGCTTTGAACAATGAAACCAATTGCAGAAAGTGAGAAAGAAGAACCATATGAAGCAGCCAAGGAACAAGAACTAAGAAGAAAGAAGAGAGCCCAGACGCCACCAAAAACAGGAAAATCTTTCATGTTTCCTATGGCATTGCCATTCAACAAATGCCAAAGCTTATATTATATAGAAAACTAGTTCTCTTAAATGCAAACCTAAAGAAAAAATGAAGATTTCAAAGAGGTAGTAGAGAAAGAAGGGAGGGGGAGTGTACTTAATTAAAAGCTTGTGTGGTGGGGATCACAAGGGAACAGTGACAGGCCTATGAACACACCCGTGCCTTGCTCACATGTTTTTAATCAACAAGAAAAATAGGGTTTCATTTGATGTGAACTAAACGATTGCTTTAACTTGTCTTTCCTGTTAAACCACCATTTGGGGTTATACAGGCTTGGACTCAACGTAATATAATTGCTTAATCTTTAGTCTCTTTTGCATTAATGAAGATTTGGATTGTTGTTAAGAAATAAACGATGAGACAAAGATAAGTGTTTTTTTTTAATCTAAGATCTGGTTTTTGTCTGCAAACTGAAACTGTGTGGACGGTGTCCTGTCGTTTCATGAGTGTTACCATAACTTGGTGAGCATTGGTTAGGTTTTTGAGATCCCAAATTTAGTGTTTTGTCTAAGATTTGGTGATGGGTTAGGTTTTTGCTTGATAATGGAGGATTGGGGAGCATAGTTTTCTACAAGGTAATTAATGGAAAGTGACATGGAAATAGGTGTGGACAGTGATGCCTGCTTTGGATTAAAGACTAGTCCTCCATTGTCAGTCGGAGCATTGTGATTTTGGGGTGCTTCGTCGTTCTTGGACTACAACTTTGCACGCGTAATTGATGTGGGACCATGAGTTTTCACATGCCTAAAGGTCAAACGAAATTGAATGCTTCTCCCTCGGTTCCTCCATGGAAATGGAGAACCCTGAGATCTGTTTGATTGTTGCAGGCGTTCTCATTTTATGTTTTAAGCTTTTACTGCAATTCTTGGGTCATTGTTGAATGTCGTGAAAGCACCGGCTTGTAGCCCATGGGCTTTAATCTATCTATAAATGTACATAAGTATAAATTAACAGTGTGTCTAATGAAATGTTTATAGATTGTTCGTATAACAGCCGTTTATTATTTGTTTATTAAATTAAGCTAAATAAAGGAATATAAATTTTTTATATTTATTTAATAAACAAACGATCACGAACAAAAATATTTTCGGTTAATTTATGTACACAAATAAATTCGTTTAAAAAATCTTTTATCAACTCATTTATAAGCTATTTTACCATTTTTTCCTTTTATATTTTACATTTTAGATATTGGTTAAGATATTGATTTAATTGAATACATAGTAAACTTTGGAGTCCAAACTATAAAATTTAATGAATTTAAGGATTAGTGGCATAATTTCATCATTTCTAAACATATAAAGAAATATTAGCGTACAAAGGAGCATACTTACGAATACTAAACAAGTCGAATAAATTAATAACACAATTTTTTTCGTTCAAACTCGAATTATTTACACCCTTATCGCAATAAGTTGCTCAAAAATTTTGCATTATCTATTTCATTGACTCAGTGCAATACAATTGACCCCAACAAAAGAAATGTGTTCCAGGGAAAGATAAATCATCTAATCAGACTATCAATACATATAAGAAAATTATATCAGACTACACATAGTGTTCCTGAATCAGTGAATGATAAATCAGCTACTGGTGTACCTAGGATATCACTGAGCAAAAATGCTCATCAATCCTACCGTTCCACCCTCACATTTGCCGCAGAACTGTCCGTCACTTTCCGGCCCGTCGAGAGTTTCTTCGATTTACGACTGTTGCATATCTTGGTATAAACGTTCTTGGTTCTAATTGCCAGTAAAACATCCAAGCCAAATCCGACGACGGAGGCGATAGCCATTACGACGAACACGAGACCGTAACAATATGCTCCCACACAGGTATTCCCACCCCCTGGTGTGGGAGTAGCCTGTGCGTCATATAGGTACCCTGCAAGCAGGCCAGAGAAGAGGAAAGAACCAATGGGAAGGTTGAGGATCAAAATGTTGTAGAGAAGACCGTAGTATTTGAGACCGAAGAGTTCCGAGGCAACCGGGACGGTCACGGCGAGACGGACTCCGTAACAGAGGCCGACGACAATTGAACCGATGTAAAGGCAACCGGGCACCGCCAATGCCATGAGAAGGAACCCAACTGCCATCAGGACCTGAGATGCTGCATTCCATAATGGCCTTGGTGTTCCTGCTTTCCTGCAGGTATTTCAAACTCGATTAAAGAATTATATATTTGATGTTGGACTAAATATGTAGGATGAAAATGTTGACCAAACTCTAAATGCAAAGTTCGGTGTTTTCCATGTCAATCAAGCCAAAGAATTTGAAAATTAATAAACTTTATCAAAGTTGCACGACTTTATGAATCCGACGAAAAGCAAAACAGATCAACGTCACAATCAAGGAAAATTGAGAGTTTACGTCGAGAAAAATGAGGCTTACTTGAGAAAGTACTCGGAAACCGAGCCTGAAATGATCCGCCCGAAAAAGCCCCAAATACTGGTTAATGAAATGAACATTGAAACGTCGGGGTGGCCGAGGGCCAAACCGATCTGCGCCATGTTGTTTATCACCGCCATTCCTGTTCCGACACCACAAAGGAACGATACGAACAAAACCCAAAAGTCCCATGTCTGCATCGCCTCCATTATCGTGTGTTCTTCGCCGATCACCGGTGTAGTCTTTTCCACCTCCGCCGTTGCAGCTGCGACTTCGGTTTGTTTGCTGAGAACCTTCTTTTTCTCCTCCTCTGTCGACGGTGTTTCTTCTTTCAGCAACGGTTCATATCGCTCCATGTCGGGCTCGAACCCGACCAAGCGCCAACTCTTTATAAACGAATATACAGGAACCGCCAGCGGACTAGCTAATAGGATTAAAAGTATAACCGCGAAAACGAGCCGAATTACTTGATTTGATGAACTGATCAGATCGTAAACTAAAAGATAAAACAGCGACGACGACGGCAACCGCGTTGAATATCGCGAAATAACGGGTTTCTTCCTTCTCAGCAGCCACGGAGGTCGTTTGCGGGATTTCACGGAGGAAGAAAATCGCGCTGAGGCAAACGGCGAAGGGAATGACGGCGAGCATGATGAGGAATTTAGCTGGATCATCGGAGAAGAGTGCGGAACAGAGGTCGGTGAAGATGGCGGTGCTGAGACCAACATACGCTTTTAAGATCCCGGACACCGGACCACGGTTCCGTCGGAAATTACGGATGCAAGTTACTAAAACGGCGGTGTTCATCCATGTCGTGCTATTCCCTCCCATACACATGAATATACACATCTACAAAACAGAAAATTCAAACTTTCATTGCTAATTCTTGACGTTTTGAACAGATATAAGTACATTACTAAAAAAAAGCTTATACCTGCCAGTAAGAAAGGGGTTGAATTTTCCGACTAACGACGAGCCATTGAGCACCATAACCAACCAAGCCTTCAACGGCACCGATAAGGAGAATAACAGGAGTGGGCAAACGATCAGAGGCAAGCCCAGCAAGCAGACCAAAAGCCTTACCAACATCTTTAGCCACAGACAGATTGTTAAGCTGAAGCTGGGTGAGATTCATAAGCGTCTTGATAGCATCAGAGTAATTTGAAAAAGTATAATTATTTCCCGCAATGGCCTGCACCCACACTGCAGAAACGAAGCCCAGCCATTTCCAGGCACTGAACTTGTAAGTTTCTTGAATCCCCATGAAACCTCGAAGCAGAGCAAAGGACGAAGAGAAGAAGATACTTTGATCGGTCGGTGTGAGATGGTGGATTTAGAGGGGTTATTTAAAGTGCCGATATTTGTCGCTTTTGGCTTTTGTTTTTTTTTTCTTGATGTAGGGTCCAGATTATTGACGCGTACGGTTCGTATTGTGGTTCTACTTGCAGGTGAAATAGACGGTCTGTAAATGCTGATGTTGATATTTTGGTTGATATTGCAACTTGCTCTTCTTTGATTCACTGGATTTGTGTTGGGTACAGCTTCTGGCTGCGGACTATAAAATCAATTATAATCAACTAACACCCATTTGGTAACGCTGATTAAAAGTATTTTTAGTTAAAAAAATTATTTTTATCGAAAAAATAATATTAAAAGAGTAAAAAATTTAAAAAATATATAATGGGAACGATAGTTTTAAATCAATCTCAAAAACTAAAATTTTTAATTTTTTCATTTTAACTTTGCGTTTATAAAAAAATTATATTTTTGATTTTACTAACGTATAGACTCCACTCTATTATATATTTACATTTTATTTTGAATAATTTAGTACAAACATCCTTCAAAAATGATTTATTATTTTTAATAATTTATTTTAGTTATTTAAAAAAATAAAATTCATAATTTATATAATAAAATATTAATAGTGAGTTATATAAAATATATTTTATTATAATTATATATTTTATTTGTATTTTTAAATTTTTATTATAGCTTAAATTGATATAATTTAAATATAATAATATTTTTAAAATTTAATATAGTTTAAATTGATATAATTCATATATAGGAGCAATACCAAATAGTTAAATTTTAAACTGCACTTTTAAAGTTCGTTTTTACGCACTTTTAATAGTAATTTTTCAAAATCAATACTAAATAGGCCCTAAACCAATTGAAATTATTTTTAACATTTTAATTATTTTGGGTTGCCCTCTTGATTCTAATATTTTGTCTTGATTAATCTAGACTGACCCGTCTCACATATCTAGTTTTGGTGAGTGAGTCACTTATCAAAGATTTTTTTGCATATTCAAAGAATCGAGCTAGATATTTTACTTAAACAATATCAAATTGTTTACAACTTGAACCACATAGTTGGTTAACATTTTAAATTTTGACGTTTAGTTAAAATTAATTTTAGCGTTTTAAATTTTAATTAGTTTTAAGTTTGAATGAAGATTAGTTTGTCGTCCAGGTTCATTGAATTAATGGTCTATGAGAACAAGTGAATTGTGTTATAATTGGTAGTTTTCTTTTCTATTTTAATTTCCGATGTGATAATGATTATTAATCTATTTCTCTATCATAGTTAAGAAATATTTATAGTAGTTATTGTTGTTTGACAAAGACGGACGAAACATTTTATATTAGGACGTGAACTTAAATTTATAAAATTTTGATGATTAGTAAAATATTTTAAAGTTATATTTTAATTAAATTGAAT